AAGCCACTGCAATCAGATATAGGTGATGCTAGTTGGGAGGTAAGTCTTATCAACTGGAGACATGGGACTCTGTATCAGGGCAGGTCAGAGGCTCAATCCTTAAGTACTGGCCTGGGGACAGGGACCATCAGGATCGTCCAAGTCTTTGGTTCTACCATCTCTGCAGTGATTTCCAAAACATAGTTCTGTGATTCCTTACTGTTTGCCCAAGGTTGTAGGAAAGTTGATAAAGGTAGCTGCCAGGCTGGCACTAAGCTGGGTTGTACCTAGGTTTCAATCACTGGGCCCTGTGCAGTCTTGGGTGTACAGGCCAGGACCATATAAGGTGGAGATCCACACTGAAATTAATCCATCCCAGTGGGTTACAGATCTCTGCCTGCTTCTGGGGCAACTTTAGAGGCTCAATCCATGAGCACTGGTCTTTGGATAGAAGTGTTAGGTCTCACTAATAGCAGTGAGCCTGGCTGTGAACTCCAAGACAAAGTCATAATTCCCTTAATGTCCTTCTTCCCTGTGGCTGGAGACTTGTTCTGCCTTCTGCTGGAGGGGTGGTGGGGATAGGTTCTTGGCTGCCTAGATAAGGAATATCCAAAAATTCTACAGTCATTGCTGGGAATAGGGGCCATGGAACACTACTGGGCACTGATTTTTACCACGGCAGCCCTGGTGGTGGATTTCAAGTCAAGGTCTGGATTTAATTCCCTCTCCTTTTGAGGAGGCGGCAAACATCTCTCTCCACGCTTTGCTACTTTGAGCTAGGGGAGGAATGATGTGGACGACTCTTACTAGTATATAAAACCAGGCACTGCAGTCTCTCACCTAACTTCCATAGCTCTTGTTAATAGGACTCAGTGCATGAATAGATTTAAACTGTTGCCTCTGTGGGGAAATGATCACCAGAACAACTTAGCTACCATCTGGCTCCAGTGCCTCTCCCTTACATACTGTAGACATGAGTCCCCCTCCTTCCCACTTTCTTTGCTTTTGGCTACTAGTTTTCCAATGTCTTTTCTCATTCTGTGGGCTTCAGTTTTTATTCACATAATAAGGAGTCTCTCTGATGACCATCCAAAGTTTTATGTACTGCAAAAACAGTTTTCTGTTAACTTAAATGGCCTTGAGGTTGACAAAGATTCATTAAAATGTATAATTTGTAAGTGTACAATTCAGTGGCATTAGCACATGTGGTACCATCATCACTAACTATTTCCAGGGCTTCGTTGAGGTTAGCTCAGCCAGTTTCTAGTGTGTGTTTTTTTTTTTTTAATGTTTCCAAGGACTTGGAGCACCCTAATCTTCTATGTTGCTGAAGTCCCCCAACCACAGCTAGGAATTCTTTCTTGAAAGTGTAATGTGTCCCTGGCAGCACTATTCCCTCTGCTCTGATCTGTATCTCAACCCATTGCTAATTTGACTTCAATGTCTTGTGTCATATTCAAGTTGATCTTCATAGGGTCATCAGTGGCTATCAGTCAAGTTCCAGGGATTACTGGTTAATGGTTATTTTGTATCTTGTTCTTTCCTGATGCATTTGGATACCACTGCTCCTTCTCCTTCTCTGAACACAGTTTTAAGTTTTTTCCTTCTTTCTGGGGTTATCTTTTCCCCGAGTTTAGTCCTCATCCCCCCAGGTTATTCCCTGTGTCTTTTCTTCATGTTTCACTTTTCCTCTTATGTAAAGATGACTGTGAATTGACATATTTAGCATAGCTCTTTTCAATTCCAGATCTCTATATCTATTTATGAACAGCTCTGCTTGGATATTTCACAAACATCTTATCAATCCTTTCTCTTTTTCTATTTTCCATCCAGATGTTCAACCTGAAAGTTACCTTGACTTCCTCTCTCTTATCCCTATTATCCAATGGATCCTTGAATCCATATTTCTCAGCCTTTCTACTTTGCAGTGCATTCATTCTGATCACCATACTTTCTCACCTACATTACAATTCTCTTTCTCCAGTCTGGTCAAAGTCCTATCCAATCGCTATGCTACTGGCAGAATAATCTTTCAAAAGTATAGTTCTGATCATGCCTCTCATGGCTAGAAATCTTTCTAGTGGACTCCTTGTGCAAGACATTTCATGACCTGGCACCTGCTTGCTAGTCACATTCTGTTCTGTTTTTATCTAATTCTCTTACACACATTTTGGGGCTGCTTTTGCCTTCATTTGTTCACACATGCTTATATGCTATACATTTCCCAGCCAAGACAGGGGACTCATAAATGTATATTGTATTAAAACAAGGAAGTTGAATTATGTCATGGAGTCAGAGTGTTAGCGCTATGAAGGTTGTTTTAGTTTTGCATAGACCAAAATCATCATGGCTTTTACAGACTCAGGGGACATGCATGACACTATTCTGAGAGGATTTTCTTGTCAGAAATAATCACAGTTTTCATTCTCATAGGAGAGGAATGTGGATGTTTTGGGTGTATCTATAGTTTGGAACACATTTCAACAATATCTCCAACATAAACATAGGAAAAGGTTCTGAGATCAAGAAATTCCATGGAATTCACAATGTCTCAAAGCCTTACTCTTTAAAGTGTGGCCCTTAGACCAGTGCACTTAGTGTCTCTGAAGCTTTGAGAAATTCAGCATCTCAAACTCTACCTTGAACTACTAAATCAGAATTTTCATTTTTAATAAGATCTCGAGGTGATTCATATTAAAGCTTGAGATACATTGGCCTAGAGGGTTTTAGAAGAACGGGGTGAGTTTTATATGAAGCTTCAATATTTTTCTCCCTGTTAGGAAAACGAGTCATTGGGAGTAAATGATCAAATATGCACCATATGTCCCCTTAAGTGACCTTGATGACACAATGTTAAAGCATCTCCCATGGGTGGCCAGATATGTTCCCAATTGTAATTTCACAAAATGCCAATAAGCCAGAGGGCCTGGATGCAGAGCTGCCTTGGGCTGAATGAGAATTATCAGAAGGGGGCTTTCCTAGGTAAGAGAAAGATGATATCTCCCCAGACATGAGAGCACGGGAGGGCTCATGCCTCTTTGATTATGAAGCACATACATTATGTCACTAGAAATAAAGGAGGGGTTGGTAGAGGTCCTAGAAAGGAGCATGTTGATTGGCCCATGGTGAACATTAGCCTCAGACTCACTTGGGACATAGAATGGCTTATGAGTTGTAAGTGAGCTCTGTGGCCAATAACATTTGATCTTCATTAGAGATGGCCACAGTGTGTTAACTTAATAAAAAATTACAAGTAATTGTTTTCCAAGGAACATACCTGGGGGTAGAGGTGGAGGGACATGCATATAGTAATGTGTAGATAGCCAGTTCCAATAAGTTGTGAGCTGTAAATTGCCCCAGGACATTTAGTCACCTTGGTTCATACAGTTACACAAAGCATTAAGATACTGTTGCTTTGGGGCTATCCCAGCTGGCCAAGCTTAATAGTATGGTTCAGATGACAGCCTTGCAGAAACTGTGGCTGGCTAATCAGAATGTCAAGGGTTGGCACCAAGTGGCAGAGTGACCAAACCACTACCCAGCTGATGAATGCCATCTGAATATCAGAATGGACAGATAGTGCTTCCATGCCCTGAGATTTCCAACAGGGTTTGTTTTTTTTTTTACGAAATTCACTCTGCAGATGCCCTGGGCAGATGCAGGAGATTTAGATGACTCGAGCCATTGCCACTGCCTTTTGTGATCTGCAGTAGCAGGAGGCTTGGCTCAGGAGCCAGAGCTGGGAATTGAACCCAGGCATTCTGATGTGGGACATGGGCATGTCATAACCCCTAGGCTACACTCCCACCCTTCCACTCAGGTTGGAATACAACAAACAGAATTACATCCTTTCTTCCAAGTACTTCCACACCTGATTTTCTCTGCTATGAATAATATTCTAAAACAGTGGTGGGATCAGCTTAGTAGGGCAACTATTCTTTGACTCATACAAGGGCATGAGTTCGAAAAGCTCGTGGAAAAATATACATTTATTTTGGCGCAAAGAAAATGCAATTTTTTTTCATAATATGAACTTTCCATGAACGTTTTGCAGATCTCACAAAGAGGCCTTCTCTATCTGAATTGGAGCAAAGCTGGCCTTCTAGCATGGTGCTCAGTCCTGCCTGGCCCATAAAACAGAAAAATGGTAAGGGCACTCTTAACACCCTACCCCCGGGCTGCTTGTATAATTGTATGGTGTCTGTCAGTGTTCAGGATGGCTCCCCTCTAGGAGAATCTTCAGTTTGTGGTGGTTTCACTTTTAAATCACTACTAACCCCAAAATTTCCTCTCCAGACAGAGTCATCAGGGTTGGTTCCTCCATTATATTCAGAGGAGGTCCCATCCCCAGGTGCCTGGGGGCAACTGAGCCTGCTTCTCCTGTCTCTTGAGCTCTATTGGGACTTTTTGTGTTAGCCTCTAGGCAGAGAATTGACTAGAGGTTGTTGGTTTCAAAGTGAAACCTGCTAGCCTTCAACTTTTCCTTGTTTGGAATGGTAGTTCTCTACTATGGCAGCACATCAGAATCACCTGGGGAGTTTCTAAAAATTACCCAAGCTTGGATTCCCTCCCCCTCCCCCAGAGCAATTGACTTAGAATCTCTGGGAGGTACTGCATGGAAGTCGGTTGTTTTAAAGTTTCCCCAGTGACTTTAAGTATGCAACACCGTTCAACACTGCAGTCCCAGGATGGCTGTCCTCCGAACGTCCAATCATCAGCCCCAGCATGGCCAGTGAGAAAAGGCACCCAGGTGGAATGTTAGTCTGAAGAAAGAAGTGGAGGGACAGGTGTTGAACTGAGAACGGGAGTGGAGGGAAGTCAATTGGGAAAGCTGCACAGTGTGGGTGATGTGTAGAGAGAAGAGTATCAGAAACTCTGGGCTTTAGGAATGATAGTGGATGGGATTAGTGACAGGAGAATGTGAAAGGTCAGGTGTCACAAAGGAGGTAGCATTGGTGGCATTTTGCTTTGTACTGTGGCAGGGTCCAAATTGTTAAATAAAATCCAAACTGGTCCCTCACCTGGCCCCAGCTGGAGAAGGCCCACTCCACACAGAGCTGTTGGTTGCAGGCCTGAGTGTCCACTGGTCGCTTGGCGAGCTGGGTGCACATGTCATTGGACACGGGAGTGGAGATCCCAGTGGCCTTCAGCTTCTGACAGGTCACCCGGCGGGTCTGGACGCCTCCGCCGCAGCTCCGGGTACAGGCAGACCAGGAAGTCACCATCCACCTGGGAAGAGGAAGAAGTGCCAGGAACCCCCAAAGGGTCAGGCCCTGGGGAAAGGAACTACGCACACCCTCTCAGCATACAGCTGGCACTCCGGAGTCATGGCCTTTTTCACAGTATTGATTCGGAATTGGAGGCTGATGCTACCCTTCCCTACCCCTTCAAATTTCTGAAACCTGTTTGTTACCTTACTTGGGAAAAGGGGCTTTACAGACCTAATTAAGGATTTTGAGATGAGATTATGTTGGATTTTCCAGATAGGCCCTAAATGCCTACTAAGAGTGTCCATGTAAGAGAAAGGTAGAGGAAGATTACACACAAAAGAGGAGGCGGCGGTGTGACCATGGAGGTGGAAATTGGAGTCACATAGCCATGAACCAAGGAGCACCTGGAGTCCCAGAAGCTGGAAAGGGCAAGGAATGGATTCCCTGCTAGAGCCTTTGAAGGGGTGTGATGCTTCCAAAATGGTGAGAGAATGTATTTCTGCTCTTTCACACTGCTATGTTTCTATTTGTTTCAGCAGCCTCAGAAAACCCATACACTTGGAAAACTGATTAGAAAGGTATATCTTGAAAGTATGAGTGTACTTACAAATGTTCATGGAAATGCCTATTTTGGTGTATTTTTTTCTCTGAAATCCATGCATACAAGGGGCCTTCAACAAGTTCCTGAACAGTGTGTATTATGAAAACACTATGCATGGATTTCAAAACTTTAAAAAGAAAACTGGGTCCAGCATTGTGAGTAAAGCTGCAGCCTGCAGTGCCAGCATCCCATATGTGTGCTGGTTTGAGTCCTGGCTGCTCCACTTGCAAACTAGCTCTCTGTTATGGCTGGGGGAAAGCAGTAGAGGATGGCCCAAGTCTTTGGGCACCTGCACCTGTGTGGAAGACCTGGAAGAAGCTCCTGGCTTCAGATTGGCGCAGCTGCATCCATTGTGGCCCTCTGGGGAGTAAACAGTGGATGGAAGTCCTCTCTCTCTCTCTCTCTCTCTCTCTGCCTGTGTTTCTCTGTAACTCTGCCTTTCAAATAGATAAATCTGTAAAAAATTATTTGAAGAGGAGAGTGATAGAAAGGAAGACCGAGCTTCCATTCACTAGTTCACTCCCCAGATGGCTAGGGATGGTCTGGGCCAAACCCAGGAGCCAAGAGGTCCAAGTACTTGTGCTGGGAAAACAGAAGAGATAGCTCATCAGCAGGGAGCTGGATCTGAAGCAGAGCACCTAGGTCTTGAACCAGTGCTCGGATACAGGATGCTGGGATTGTAGGATGCAGCTTGGCTCACTGTTTTTTTTTTTTTAATGATTTATTTATGTATTTGAGAGTCAGTGTTACACAGAGAGAGGAGAGGAAGAGAGAGAGCGGTCTTCCATCCGATGGTGCACTCCCCAGCTGGCTGCAACGACCGGAGCTACACTGATCTGAAGCCAGGAGCCTCCCCTTGGTCTCCCACGTGGGACTATGTTGTGCCAAAATTTTCCCACCACCTTTCTGAAATCTCTTCATAATCTGACAGTCAGTTGCCTTCGCTAGCTGTCCCCAAAGGCTGTGAGATTGCTGGCAGAACACTCTGGGAGACAGTTCTTCAGCTAGTTACACTGTCCTGCAGTTCTGAAACATCCCAGAGCAGGGACAGTTCCCTAGGGAAGTCAGATACAAACCGGTGCCATCTTCTGATTCAGGGTGCGATCTAGGTTGTACTCAGTGTACTTTTTACTTCCCTTTTAACTTATGTCTCAGTTGGTTTTGTGTAAGCCTTCAGAAACATAGTTCCTTCCAGCTTTCTGGAGGCATGTCCTCCCTCTAGGAGTCAGTCTATAGGTCTTGGATCCAGCAAATAGCTTGGTTGTATCTGTGCTGGAAATTGTTCTGAGAACATTAGGTTACAGCAGCTCGGGTCCCCAGAAGTGAGACTGCCCAAGACGGTGACTTAAAAGTCAATTTATAATCTGAGTAACATTCTGCAGTCCTTGGTCTCTAAATGACCATACAGGATTTTCTTAGCATGTGTGAACCTTGGGCACTTCTCAAAGAGGAGGCAGCTGGGACAGTTTGAGAATAATTTGGTGATTTTCAGCTATTTAATGCATTCTAGAGACAAACACTCTGATTTGTTTGTTCATGAGGGGTGTGTATGATTGCAGGGGTGGGATGAATGAGCATGAAATGGTTGCAGTAGCTATCTGGGCTAAAGGAGGCCAGGCCAGGTCTATTAAGGTTTGTGAAGAAGGATGCTGAAGTGGCAGGAAAGCCAGTCAAAGGTGAGCCCCTGGCCACTTCCTAGCCAACTGGCTGCACATCTGGTTTTCAGGAGAGGCATGTAGCACGGAAGGGGAGCAAATTCCTCCTGAACCTGGATCTGTGGCTTATTTAGTTTTGTGGCAACTTCCCTGCTCCTTTGCCCTGGAGAGGGATGGCTGTGTGCAGAATTCCAACCCACAGGAGCAGAGCACCTGAGGAAGCAGGCATGAGGTGTTTTAAAACTCCTGGGGGCACTGAAACCCAAGACGACATAGCCATTACTATTTCATTTGCAGAAGTAAATTGAGTTGATTGACTCTGACCGTCACCAAATCAAATCAACAAGTTCCTGGCAGGTTAAAGATCTCTTCTTCTTTTCACACAGCTTGGCAAGGGCAGTCTTCCAGCTCTTATATCCCCGGTGAATGTCAGACCTGCATTTCAATCAACTTTTATTTCCAAATATACATTTCAGCAATTTTTCAGGAGCTAGGGGTGAGGGTTTGAGAAAGGAGAGGTATGGCATGGGCCGTGTTACAGTTCAGGAAGGGTATAAAAGGACATTAATCATTCCTGTGGAAACCTTCCCGTCAGCAAGTCAAACTGCTGATATTAATGAGTGTGTTTCATATTTCATTGAGTCTCTCCTGGTTTCAGCTGCTCCTTATGACTCAGCTGGCAAAACACAAAGCGATTGCCTAAGCAGTATAAGAAAGTCCTACAGATAAGTAGCAAAGGGGCATTTCAGGGTTGGCTCAGGGCACCATGCCAGTGCTGACTCTGAGCCCATCTGAGCTACTTGCCTGAAGACTGGGGTGGGGGTGCTCAGTGGGATGTAGAGCTTCTGGAAGCATGAGGAAGACATAGGAAGCAGACACTCTGAGTATAATTCCAGGTTACATAAATAATCCAAATGCAGAAGATGTCTATCTACACTTGAAAAAACTCTAGGAAATGGAGATTTAGTCCAACTTCAGTGAGATGCAGCCCTCTGTAGGTATGATTTCCTCAGCTAAAGTGGAACGCGCATTAGCACTGGTAGTTCAAGTTAGACAAAAATGGAGGGGTTGGGGTAGACCCCAGTACACTCCTTAGCAGTTGAATGGAAAACACCAGTGTCAGTGCATTACTACAGGAGGGGAGCTCTTTCTTGCCAGGACCTGGGACTGCACTTGCTGCCTGCTCACACTCTCTTGGGGACCCAGCAGCTGGCTGAGGAACAAGGTAATAAACACAGTAGCGACAGGAACTCACTGAAGACATTTTCAACATGGCAGAGAGGCCTAACTTGTACCTATAGGAATGAACAGGTTGGATTGTCTCTCTGCCCAGTACTAGTCGTCAACCTGGCTATAAGTCAGGGCCCATTTTTTGGGGTGAAGAGGCCTCAGCCAGCAGCTGCTACACTCACCTGGATGGACAGTCTCTCCGGTTGCAAGCGATGGGTTGCACAGCTGGGCGAATCTTCCCAGCACAGTGGGTGGGGTTAACCTCAGTGCTGTTCAGCAGGCACCGGAGGCGGGGCTGCTGCACACCCCTGTTCCCACAGGAGGCGGAGCAGGTCGCCAGCCTGTCCACAGACCACCAGTAATCTGCAGAGGAAGAGGGTCAGACATGAAAGGAGGACAGCATTCGTGGTGGCACTGTGCCCTCTGAGAGGGGCAGGGGAAGATGCCCCTATCGGCTGAGAGAGAACTATTATGAATGAAGCTCTATTGCTCAGTAGGCACCATTCCTAACTGATTGGGGCAAGTTGTATGGTTTCCGGGAGTCTTAGCTCATGCATAAAATGAGTACAGGAACCCTCAACTCATCAAGCTATTGTGAGGACTGGAAAAAAATGAACGTTAGGCTAGATCAGGGCCTGGCACACAGAGAATACTTATTTAATTCAGGGCCTTGTTCTTTCTGTTTCTTGAACCATACTTGTGAAAGAACTTTCTGTTGGTTCACCATAAAGTGAAGTTAATTTTTTACAAAGAAGTGGAAATTTATCAGAGATGATTCATCATATCCAAAAAAGTGCCTATTGGAGCTGTGTTTTGAAATGTTACCAAAAATAGTCTTTTCACAGAGGTTTTATTTATATGAAACAATGATGTAAGATTGCCAATGTCTTTTTTTTTTTTTTTTTTTTTTGTAGTTGGGGGTCTGGGTCTCACTGGTAGGAAAGATAATATAGGCTGGTACATGCTTACTTGCCAGTCTAGCAGCTAGGCCCTGGTTTCAGGTTTTTAGCAGCAAATAGCTGGCTGTCAAGAAAATGTAACATTTGTTTTCCTACCTGGAAAGCCAAATGGGGGGGGGGGGATATACAGAATTTTGCACTCCTTAAAATGATCACACATAGGGCAGTTTTCCTGTTGAGGAAGTTTCTATTGCAAGGGCAGTGTTGGCTCTTTTCCCACTGGTTTGGGCTCATTCATAACTCTTTCTTGGCAGAGTGGTTGCCGGGCTGTGCCCATGGGCTTTCTGACTTTCTGTGACAAATCCAAGAGCACCATCAGCTTCTCAGTATATTCTCTCTCAGGGTCAAACAAAGGTGCGGGATAGCCCTTTAGCAAGTCACTGAAGACTGCAGGAAGCAACGAGCTGACCCCCCAAAGAACTGCTCAGGGCAGGAGGTATTTTTTAAACCAACAGAGAAAACGTGCAGTTTTATGGTGTGTGTACGTGTGATCTTCACTAGCTAAACAGCATGCATGAAGCATGTCTGCCTCTGAGGTGTAGTGGTATTTTGCTTCCAGAGTAAGAGCACCATTAGGAGTAGAAGGGCCCATGTATGCAGGCAGCACTGACTGTTCCAGGCTCTGCTCAGATGGGGCCTTGTGGCATAAGCAGGGTTCCACTTAGAGAAACGTGGGTCAGCTTCTGTTCTACTAGAGAGTTAGATGTCCAGGTGGACTTCCTTACTCAAGAACTAAATCCAGCAGGCTTCCTTACCTTGGATCATTAAAGATGCTTTCTGCCAGAGCATTCCTGCCTCATTCTGAGCAAGGCAGCTGAATTCCCCTTGAGTCTCGCCGCTGAGATTTGCAACCTGAAGGATCTGTCCAGCTGCCAAGATGTGATGTGTCAGTCCTGCAGCAGTTGCAATGGGCTGCCCATCATGGAACCAGGTGATATTGGGGGTAGGGTGACCTTTGATGGGACAGCCTAGAACAAAAGGAGAGAAGTACATCGTTGATAAAGCCATAAAGGACACATTCCTTGCAGGTTGTTTTAATATCTCTGTGGCTCTACAAATCATACAATATGGCTGTACCCATGCCATTTGCATTGTGTTTGTTGTTCCCAAGTAAACATTTTTATTCTCAGGGTTTGGAAGGATGGCTGTTATTCATTGAATTATGGTCATGCTTCACTTAATAACTAAGAAATGTGTTATGCAACATTGTAGAGGACACTTACACAAACTGAAATAGCTATGACATCACTGGGTGGTATAATCTTATGGTACCACCATCATATATTCTTGGAGAACATAAAGTATCTGTTCCTGTACTAACTGTAAATAATGATGCAATTAATATTCATTCGTTGAATATATTTTTTAAGTTAAATAGTCCCTACATTGATTTTGTTCCAACAGAAATTTATTTTTTACATGTATCGCATTGGGAAAATCATACTGTATAGGAATGAGACTTTAATTATTACTATCTGTACCCATTTTACTTGTTATGTGATTGGTCAATGACCAGAGCCTGGGAAACAATTTTAAACATTGATCATATTTATCCATAAATCTTGGAAAGCAGAGCAGGATGGCAACTGAGCAGCAAGACTCTGGTGACTGTGTTCCCACAGAGGCACTGATGGCAAGAGTTGAAGAAGTCAAATGAAATGATAGTGCTTGCTTTTAGAATAAGAACAGGAAAAATGCATCAAAGAAGGCAGAAATGAGTTGCCTGCATCATCCCTCCTTTGGCTCCAAGTAGCTCAACATGGAGAGTGATACCTCCTTCTTCGGAGAGGAAGAAGAGATTAAGTGCAGACTTTAGGTTTCACCATAGCTGGTCTAGCACTGGGTTTCAAATCTAGACCATGGTCCCTACCCCCATGCCAGTACTTGTAGAGTGAGCCTTTTGACTCTCTTTAGCCAGGTGGCCAATGACACTCTCCCCAACCTCTGATTGATAGTGGAGCAAGACTCCAGCCAGTTGGGAGTAGGGTGAGAAAACAAGTTAGGGCTTTACCTTGAAGCTCACTGTTGGGCTTGCTGTATAGACCCAGATGAAGCCAACTCAGCCACAGAGTCTTAGGGTAGGAGAATGAGTTAGGAGTGTCAGTGCTGGACCCAGCATCAGAAAAAGACCAGCAGCCCCTATTCCAGGACAGTACTTGCAGACAGGGACTCTAGACCTGTCACGGCATCAGATGGAGACTTGCACCCTGAAAGAATGGATCACTCTTTCAGCCTGCATTATCTCCAAACTCATACAGGTTAAGTGTGTATTCGAAAGACAGACAGGGCCCTGTGGCTGTGAGACCCTGGTACAATTCAACTTAGTGTCAGCCTGGACATCCAAGCGACTTTTTTTTTTTTTTTTTTTTTTTTTACAGGCAGAGTGGACAGGGAGAGGGGTAGAGGGCGAGAGGGGGAAAGGGGGAGAGGGAGAGAGAGAGAGAGAGAGAGAGAGAGAGAGAGAGAAAGGTCTTTCTTTGCCGTTGGTTCACCCTCCAATGGCCGCTGCAGCCAGCGTGCTGCGGCCGGCACACTGCGCTGATCCGATGGCAGGAGCCAGGTACTTCTCCTGGTCTCCCATGGGGTGCAGGGCCCAAGCACTTGGGCCATCCTCCACTGCACTCCCTGGCCACAGCAGAGAGCTGGCCTGGAAGAGAGGCAACCGGGACAGAATCCGGTGCCCCGACCGGTACTAGAACCCCGTGTGCTGGCGCCGCAAGGCGGAGGATTAGCCTAGTGAGCCGCAGCACTGGCTGTGACTGTTTTTATATCAGTACTTTCTCAACCATAGGCAGACCACAAGGAGCAAGGCTCCAGCCTCCCTCACCTGTAAGAAGACTATAAGGAGCAAGATTCTAGCCACTGAGAAGTAGGGCACGAAAACTGCAGCTTGGAACTGATACTACCATCACTGGGCAGATACCAATGGCTCCTGTGGATAGAGTCTCTGGACCTTCCCTCATTACAAGTGGAGGCCCAAGCCATTGATCTCTATCCTGACCAGTATCATTTGCGACTAGTTGTAGCACTGCAGGGCACAGCAAAGTGGGCCTTGGCCCTTTCTAGGGTGGGGGCGCAGCTGCGGACTCTGGTGTGATCTAGCATTTTGATATAGGAGGTCACAGGACTGCTCACTCCATTTCCCCCCTGGCTCCAGGCAACATAACATGGAGATAATCATCTTGGGGGAAGAAAAAGGAGGTGGCTAGCAAGACGTTGCATAGAAACCTGAGGCTGGCACCGTGTGCTCCTGCCAAAGCAGGAACCCAAGCAACTCTCTTGGGACTCAGAGTTGGTGCTCCCATGAATCCAACCATAGTAGACTAAAGACCTTGTCCTGGGGCCAAGACCCATGGATTCTTCCTGGAAAAAAGAGGAATGCTTCCATGCTGCCACTGTAACCAACTGCTATCAAGACACGGGGAGATTGTACTACAGCATTCACTAGAAACTAAACAAAATAGCTTACCCAATCAGCACTTGAAGATTTATCTCCAGGAAAAGTCCTTTTACCATAAAACCACTATTTAAAAGTGATATAAACAACTAATTTGGCAGATATGCAAATATCACTGTAGAGGCATAGGAAGTATAAAAAAATGGCAAACTGACACCCTTAAACACAATAAAGTTTTAGTAACAGACTGTAAAGAAAAGGAGATTGATGAAGTATCTGATAAAGAATTCAAAGGAATGATTATAAGGATACATAGAGATTTTGAAAAATACCCAAGGGGCTGGTGCTGTGGCATAGTGGATAAAACCACTGCCTGCAGTGCCAGCATCCATATGGGTGCCAGTTTAAGTCCCAACTACTCCACTTCTGATGCAGCTCCCTGCTATGGCCTGGGAAATCAGTGGAAGATGGCCCAAGTCCTTGGGCCCCTGCACCCACATGGGAGACCCAGAAGAAGTTCCTGGCTTCAGATCGGTGCAACTCCAGCCATTGTAGCCAATTGGGGTGTAAACCAGCAGATGGAAGACCTCTCTCTCTGTGTAATTCTGACTTTCAAGTAAATAAACTAATCTTAAAAAAAAAACCCAAACATGGGACACTAACCCACTGTTGGTGGGAATGCAAACTGGTCAAGCCACTATGGAAGTCAGTCTGGAGATTCCTCAGAAACCTGAAGATAACCCTAACGTTCGACCCAGCTATCCCACTCCTTGGAATTTACCCAAAGGAATTTAAATTGGCAAACAAAAAAGAGGTCTGCACCCTAATGTTTATTGCAGCTCAATTCACAATAGTTAAGACCTGGAACCAACCTAAATGCCCATCAACGATAGACTGGATAAAGAAATTATGGGATATGTACTCTTTAGAATACTATACCGCAGTAAGAAACAACGAAATCCAGTCATTTGCAACAAAATGGAGGAATCTGGAACACATCATGCTGAGTGAAATAAGCCAGTCCCAAAGGGACAAATACCATATGTTCTCCCTGATCGGTGACGACTGACTGAACACCAAGAGGGAAACCTGTTGGAGTGAGGTGGACACTATGGGAAATGGTGGCTTGATCAGCATAGCCCTGACTGTTAATGAACAACTAAATACATTATCCCTCTTAGTAGTTTTTTTTATCTGTTCTACTTAATATGACTGGTTTAGATCTGTAATTGATGCACAGTTATTCTTAAGTGTTGAAAATTAACTGAAATGTGATCCCTGTTGAACATGGTGGTGGAAATGGGAGAGGGAAGAGATGTATAATTTGGGACATGCTCAGGCTGACTTGCCCCAAGTGGTGGAGTTGGAAGCATACCAGGGGATTCCAATTCAATCCCATCGAGGTGGCATGTACCAATGCCATCTCACTGTTCCAGGTGATCAATTTCAGTTCACAGTTGGTCATGGTGAAGGGACTGGGAGTCAAAGGGAGCACATAGACAAGTCTAGTACCTGCTAACGCTAACTGATGGAGTAAATAAAGGGGAGAGTGATCCAACATGGGAAGTGAGATACTCAGCAGACTCATAGAATGGCAGATGTCCTAAATAGCACTCTGGCCTCAGAATCAGCCCTAAAGGCATTCAGAGCTGGCTGAAAAGCTCATGAGAGTATTTCAGGCATGGAAAGCCAAGACACTCTGGCAAAAGATCTCTGTCAGTGAGATCCCAGTGGAAAGAACAGGTCATCAAAGAAGGAGGTACCTTTCTCTGAAGGGAGGAGAGAACCTCCACTTTGACTATGACCTTGTCTAAACAAGATAAGAGTCGGAGAACTCAGAGGGCTTCCATAGCCTTGGAAACTCATGACTGGAGCATAGGGAGATTACTGATGCCATAGACAGGAGTGTCAATTGGTAAAGTCAACAACAGGAGTCACTGTGCACTTACTCCTCATGTAGGATCTCTATCCTTAATGTGCTGTACATTGAGATTTAATGCTATAACGAGTACTCAAACAATATATTTCACTTTGTGTTTCTATGGGGGTGCAAACTGTTGAAATCCTTACTTAATGCATACTAAACTGATCCTCTGTAAAAAAAAAAAGAAAGAAATTATCAATTCCCAACTTGACTCTCACTGGGATTAAACATGACAATAGGTCTGCTCTGATTTCATCATCATTTAAAAAAATCATCTATTATTTTTCACTTTATGTTTCTGTGTGGGAGCAAACTGTTGAAATCCATACTTAATGTATACTAAGCTGATCTTCTGTATATTAAGATAATCGAAAATGAATCTTGATGTGAATGGAAGGGGAGAGGGAGTGGGAAAGGGGAGGGTTGTGGGTGGGAGGGACGGTATGGGGGGGAAGCCATTGTAATCCATAAGTCGTACTTTGGAAATTTATATGCATTAAATAAAAGTTTAAAAAAAAAACCCAAACATGCCTTGTAATGAAGAACTCAATAATTAGTCAAAAAGTACAGCTGAAAGTCTAAACAGCAGATTAACGGATATTCCAAGTTAAAGACAAGTCTTTTGAAATCAGACAAGAAAAAAACCC